AATGGCTCGACACATCTCTTTGTACAGGAAAGCCAAAACTGTCGAGCCCCAACTGAGTGATCCGACCAGATGAAAGTCGCCAAGGTGTCGCAACCACATACAGTGAACTTGGTTGTGCAATTTGTCCGGCATCAACAACTTTCCTATCAGTTGCAGTATGTATGCCCGTGCATACATTTTAACTTCATCCTCAGACGCGTCCTCGCTCAAATGACGAAAATTGGCATCTAACCAATTTAACGGTATCCGACCACCATTAAAATTTTTTGGAACACGTCCTAGATTATCCCGACACAAAGCAGTCCAGGAACCATGCGCGATCCCCGATATCACATCTCCATCCACTGGAAGCCTCAGGTGCATAGAAACATCCTCAAGTGTAATTGTGCACTCTCCGCACGGAAGATGGAATGTGTGGGTCTCCGGCCTCCACCGCTCTACTAAGGCATAAATCAGGTCTGGCTCTATCTTACAGTGACCCTGATATCTACCTATGTAACTGAATCCAGCCTCTACTAAATACAGTAAGACACGGCTATGTATCACTAACTTAAAATTCCTAATAAAATGATTTAATACACGGTTCTTCTCCTAAAATTAAATAAATTACAAAAATTAATTCTTAATCTAATAATCATGCATTAAATAAATCAACAAATTATTACTAATAGTTTAAATTAAATTAAAACATTAAAATGTTACCGTATCAGCAAAGTGTCGAGATATATGATTTGCATCCAAGCGAAGTAGATCGTCTGCCATTTTATATCTGCAAAAAAATTAAATAAGTAAAATATTAAATAAATTAAATATTTAAATAAATTAAGTACAAAATATTAAAAATATAATAAAATATACCTTAGAATAGATTATAAGAGTATTTGAGAGACGTTTAGAGAATTTGTTGTGATGAAAGTGATTGAGGATGAAGGTATTTATAGGGAGGTTTGGGGATATTAAAGTCGGGGGTGGTTGTGTAATCACACCTAAGGCGCGTCGCAGGGGCCGCGCCTTACTGACATGTGTCAGATTCACAGGGAAGACACGGCCCCTGCCCCGCGCCTTAGGTGTAATTACACACCTACTCCGCATCCACGTGTAGCTATGTCAGCATAAGGCGCGCTTCAGGGGGCGCGCCTTACCCCACGTGACACCAAATTATCATATAACGCGGTGCAGGGGGCGCGCTTTACTGCTAAAGGTGTTAGATCAAAAAATATAGTCTGACCGATATTATATTAATAAATATACCGATCACCGGTGATTTTTCAGAAAAAAACCGACAAATTATTATGAAACTGAATTTATTTATTTTTATTTTGTAAACTGTTTATAAAATTAAAATATAATTCACCTCCAATGTACGGAATAGTTTCGAACGTGGGTGATCAATGGCCTTTTGTCACCATTGTTTTTTTAGTGGAAAAAACACGGCATTCGCCCCTTTTTATTGACTTTCTAAATGGTTTTCTTTTATTCAATTATTAAAATATCACTCTCGATCTATAAGTGTACATTTTTATTTACAAAATTTTACAACATAATATTTCGATAAAAAATTTATAAGAATTATTTATGCTTTAATTTATAATATTAATAATTTGTAATATTATAAGTATTCAATTCTGAATACCCATTCTATTAAAAGGTACCAAATCATCGTGAGATGTGCTTTAACATTCCAGAAAGATTTTGGTATCCATAACGTGAATGATTAGCAAATCCAACACATAATTTTTGTTTAACATAAAAAGCATATTTCCCTTTTTGCTACTTTTTGTTTTGTGCCATTGTAAATCTTTGGATAAGCTTAGAGTTTGTCCACCTCACATTGGTTGACCATTTTGTAAAGGGGTGGATTTTTATTCTTCTTCTTCCTGGATTTCTTTGTGTAACAAAGACAGCCATTACTCAAACCATATTCCTTAATCGACGAGCCATTAACATTCACAAAAACAGTTGGCCGAGCCTTGATTTGATTGGAACCATGAATTCGTCGAATATGTTCAACCGTAATTAATTATAAACGATAATATACTTGTCATTAAGTGCCCAATCATCATCCAAAATCTTGTAAAGTAAATACGTTGATCAGTAAACAAAGAAAGAATGTTATTGTTTGCATTTACCAATGAGGTAATTACCAATAGAAGTGGAATGAATTCTGGTTGAACAGACCATCATCCCTTGCTACGAGGAACGTATTAGTGATAAAAACAAATGTAGTCAGTATCTTATTGTTCTACGTTTCGGTCTACCATTAGTGTGTATTTGTATTTGATAATCGGTTGGGAAGGTTATCTTCGTGCTTCTATATATTAGCTTTCGTTTCGTAAAATTTTAGATTTAAATAGTTAGGGTTTACTTGTTTCCCGGTAATTGTTTTTCCGAGAACTATTTTCTTTTTTTCTAGTATTATTGGTGGAAAATAGAAAGTCATTGTAATTTATTTTATTGGTCAACAAATTTTCCTTTACATTTTATGTAAATATAACTTACGGTTTAATTTTTCGTAAAACGTTTCATGAACTTTTCACTTCAAAACATAAAAGTTTAAAATAATATTATTTTATTATTTAATATTAATATATTATTTAAATACTATTTTAATAAATATATTAATTATTAAAAACATATTTATTAATAGTTTTAATAATATAATATTATACTTTTAATGCTTTAATAATATTTTTAATTATATTATTTATTGCATTAAATATTTATAATAAATAGTCTGTGAAATATTTATTAACAAGTGAAAAATGATTTACACAACACCATCTAAACATCGTAAAATGATTTTCAAAAATTGTTTTTCAATGAATGTAAATCATTTTATAAAAAATCATTTTCTTTAATTTGTTTTACATTAAATAAACGGACTCTTAATAAACAGTAACGGAAACACGTGAGGTGAAAAGGGGCATGACCCACCATAACTTTTATGATTTAATTGTATTTTAATCCATTAAAAATTTTGAAACCATTGAAATTAAGTCGAAACCATTGAAATTAACTCCTAACCATTGTTAATAAATTTCTATAACCTCGTATCCACGATGTCATCTCGTACATAACCACCACTTGGCAGTTGTTTTCACCTTCTATAAATGCCCTACAGCCTCTCATCATTTTCTTTGCACTCAAAAAGGAACAAAGATTCTCAGCTCCTGCAATAGACTAAACTTGCAGCTTTAGTTTAGCAAAACCGTGATGACGATAAGACGAGGTAATCTAGCAAACTGGAGCTGCCGTGCTGCAAATGCATACATACATATACAAAAGAAGAGGACAGGTTGGTAATTGTGAGTGAAGGAAGGTGACAGAAGAGAGGGAGCACACAGAGTTGTGTCTAGCATGAGAGGCTCGTGCTTGAAGCTTTATGTGCTTGCTCTCTTCTGTCACGTAACTCTCTCACTTCCTCCCCTATATTGTATTTATCATTTTTTTAAAGTGCATCATCAACTTATTGTTGGCTAGTTTCTTATGAAGTTTTCTTAATGATTATTCATTATGTCATTTTTCATGATTTTTTACGACTAATATTACATATGTATACGTATGTATATGAATCAATTGATACTCGTCAACCTGCAATTCATTGGCAAAGTATCTGCTTGGACTCTGAAGTTCAGTAAGGTAGGTTACAGATTTCCAATATGTGAAGTTGAATAAGTTGGGTTCCACATTTCCTATATGTGTATAAGCTAGTTGGTATAATCATTTGTATCTAATTTATTAGTAGACTAATAAGAGTTAAGTATAGTTTAAGTTTATTACAAGGATGACCCTCATGACCTAATTTGTTTCATTTATAACATTAGAACTCAAGTTTTTTGTTTAAGAGACAATGTCTAATCTTATTATATCAGTCGTTAATCCATAAGGCTTTTTAAAAATATAGATATAAATAAAGGACAATTTTAATAGTCACAGAGGATAGTAAATATAAAGTCGAAATGGCCTGTCGTCAACGCTAGCTGCAACAGGTTTTTAGAAGCGCAAAATCGCGAAGTTCTAAGTTTGAACGACAGGACATGAGCATGGCTACTGCCAGCACGGAGGTTCTCCGCGAAGACGACCACCATTGAGATTGCCTTCAAGGGAGGAAACGGTAACAGACGCACCGTTTGATGGGCGGCGGATAATTTGAAAACTGATTGTTTCGTATTGATCCACGTCATTCCAGCAATATCCTCTGTCCCAGCTCCATGCAACACTAAAATTGTTTTTTGTACAGGAAATACTGTGGAGCTAGTTTTCAGATGCATATGTAAACTTTTAATGGCTATGGAATATTCTTCAGCAATGTGTAGTATAGGAAGCTGAAGGGTCCTATGGCACCTAATACTGTCCTGAAGAGTGCTCAGACAGAAGAATTAGCTCGAATAGCACTGAAATGTTCAAAGCTTAGATGCAGGGACAGATCTGATCTAGGCACACAGATTCTACCGATTCTCGAAAGACTTGTCAATGTTGCAGATGGAAGATTAAAGTTCGAAATGTACAATGCATATGCTCCGACACACTTCTGTCCAATCCTTCAGGTTGAAAACTGTCAGCATAACTGATTTAAGCTTAAGCACGATCCTGCATATGTAAAACCATCGGCAGCAATCTGAGGGACATCCATCACATTGTTGCCGATGGTTTTACGTATGAGCACAAGAGCAATGAAGGCATGGATCAAGAAACACAACATATCACCGTTACAAAGCATCAGCTTCAGCATTCCGTATTGACTCCAAATCACACACTACGCACTGCCTATACGACTGGAAGTCACAGGTGACATTATCTAGTATATTATATTAAGCAGGTTGCATGCCATGATTCCTTTTCGAGGAAGTTACAAGACATTGTTCCAAGATGAAAAATAACCATCCATCCATTCCCTGCAACTGAAGAAATCAAATAGGAATACATAGAAAAAAATGTGGGCACAGGGTGATGTCTACAACTAGATTTGCACATCACTTTGTGTATGCATGAAAGAAGACACTCTAGTATAAAGATTTTTTCATTTCTTAAGCTGTCTTAGAATATAATTCAGAATATAAATCCTTGGCATTTTCTATTATTATATACATGATCTGGATCCAGAGAGAAAAAGGGACTTGAGATATTATCTTTGAAGAAATCCAGTTTTGAATGCTAAAACATCTCAGGCGTCAAACTTGTGTGAATTCTAGAGCATTTGCATCTGGATCTCGTGTAAAAATTGCCGGCCTCCCGGATCGGCTAAGAGTGTAAGGAATACCTGCAATATCAATATGCAACAATAGCACAATAAGATATCCTCCTCCGTTTGTGACTTACAGAGCTACATGAGAAATGTGCTATTAGAAAGCTAGAAACTAAAAGATACCATGCAAATTAACATGCAATGAGATACATGGATGACCCTGGAATAAACGCAAAAGGATCTTACCAGCTTTGTCAAGGATTGCTTGCAGCTTAGATACATCTCGAATTGAAATACAAGCATGACGGTCACGGCCTCCATGTTCGGGTCTTCCAGTTAAAGGGTCTGGATTCGGAAGTTCCATCAAATGAATCATCTCAGAACCTACCCACAACCAAGCACCTCTATATGGAAGCTTATCATGAGGCCTAGCCTCATTTATTTGAAGACCTAAACATTCAGAAGCAGATGCTCAGTTTCTAAATCTCTTCTTTCATACGAAAAACAAATAAATATTTAATCAGTGTAGAAAATGGAATACATACCTAAAATATTCTGATAAAATTCAAGTGATCTTTCAAGGTTTTCACACAGAATCCCGACATGGAGCATCCCAACAACTCCATAATCTACATCAATGAAGATGCTTCAATGTAATTTCAACCAAAATTGGAAAAACATCAAATGTAGGAATGTCAATTCTCAACAAAAAAAGACCCAAAAAACAAGAATTTTCTTTAATGATTTTAAATCGAAAAGTTTGAATATCGTTGTGCACCTGCACTGCTGAAGTAGGATGAGAGGTCCACTTCCACATCGTCGTACATCTTCACGAACGGCAGTTCCTGGATTCAGATCGAAAAGCGTATATGTTAAGGCTCTATCGGTATCCATTGACTTAACAACAATAGGGACCAGGCCACAAATCGATGCCGATATTTACTTACCAGTAGTTCAGGAGCAGACTTTCTTTCCTTTGGGTCTTTCTGGAGGCTGTAATTGGTAAAAGAAACAATAGCTTAGCTTCATGAACACACAAGTTCAAGCAATTCCATAAAGTCAAGGTAATGAAACTCAATAACTTGTTATGGTGCAAATATGACATATAAATCCGTTTCACATGCATTAAACCATAATCCTTACCATGCAGAAATAAAAGAGCAGAACTCTGGCGAAAATTGATCTGAAGGTACACAAGGTGCTGGTCCTTCAACAATATGTTCCATAAGTTCAAAAAAGCTCGTCCATTCTTCCGCATGCTCCGGCGGCGAATATGGGAATTTGCCGGTTGCACACTCGAGCAACACTATCCCCAAGCTCCAAATGTCGGCGTCGACACCATAACTGCTTCCACAAATTCTCTCAGGCTACAAAAGAAACAAATAGCAGAAATTAAAAAGCTAATGAGCTCTGAACAAGTAAAATACAGACACCACAAATTACTTACAGACATATAGTTGTATGTGCCAACAAAAGTGTTGGCTCTTTTGTTGGCTAGTCCTACGTAACTTATCAGTTCTGCACTCTCGCCGAAGTCGGTGATCTTAACTTCCCCCCTGTGATTTATTAACAACTTCGATGGCTTTATGTCTCGATGGATAACATGTACTTCGTGATGAAGATAAATCAAGCCCTTGAGCGTCTGCATTAAAGAGAAGAATTTCAAATTGCCAATCAGAACACATCTAAGAACAACCTATAATTAATTTGATGTTCAAACGTACCGACCTGTTTACAGATTGCGGCAAGATAGGGTTCTGGAATCGATTTAACCTTCTTCAGAAAGTCTGCAAGGGATCCACCATCCATATACTCCAAGATGTTTGACATGACACCATCCTTATAGGAAGACGAATAATGAACAACAACAAATGGACATCGAGACGACTGAATCGATCTCCATTTTCTTGCAATTTGGCTGAGAACAGACTCCTCAATATCCATTTCAATGATCTGTTATAAGAATGCTGTGTTAGAACTCAAAACTTACATATGGAGCTAAAACATTTAACTTCATTACCATTGAGGTGATACATGTAAAGTTGTGGAAATATTGTTGACAGAACAGAAGTTATTCCTTAAACCATGTTCTTAGATGGAATAGGCTATATTACCTTTAATGCAAAAAGTTGGCCAGTCCATTTGTGTTGAACCAATTGCACAGTTGAACTATAACCTTTACTGATAACTTTAATAACATCCAAATCTTGTGATGATATGACAGCAGGAGTCTCAGGATGAGGACGAGGAAGATAAGCACGATAAGATGAAGAGAAGCAGCAAGAATAGGATCAGCAGGAATAGGAGGAACAGGAGCAGGACGAGGGGGATATAGATTTTGTATGAGCTCGGATGGGGTGGATACGAATTTCGAGCAACAAACATGCTTAACAGCTTCATCATCCCAAATCAAATCATTCCACCACTCTATTTCTCCTATAATTTTCTGCAATAGATTTGCACTTCCCAAGTCAAACGGAAGTAGCCTCAACAATTGGCACTTGGATACTTCAATCTCCAACAGAGAAGGAAAGCAACTTGACGATGGACAAATGCGTTTCAGATTTAGCAGGCGAGTCAAATAAACGGTTTTCAACCGGGGGAATGCCATTTCTCACTTGTAACTTCCTTAAGCGCCTCACAGTCGAAAATTTTAAGAATCTCGAGGTTTCTAGCATAAGCAAGGGCATTAAGGTTCAACAACAGAGGGCAAACTCCTATGCTTACCTTACTAAGGTTGCCAACCTTACAGCCTACTGATACTTTGAACTCTTTGAGTGAACTGCAACGAAATATCTCAAGACTTTCGAGATTGCTTACCTCTTCTGTAAAATGTAGCGAAATCAAGCCATTGCATTCCATGACTGTTAATTTCCTAATGCAACTCCTTAAAATGTAGGATTGCAGAATTTTTTCCAGGGAAGGGGCACAGAATATGGTGATACATATTTTGTTTATGTGATTCAAACACTCCAAAGCTTCTAAAAAGTCGATTTCGTCGTAAGGCATACTTTCCACCGAACTGAAGTGCTCATCGACTCCATTGATTTTACTATAAACTTGCAAAAGTAAAAGATTAGATATCACCTCCTTTGGTATCCATTTAAGATTCATAGTATAATCTAACAGCAAACACCTGAGGTTTCTCAAATTTCCAAGGTCAGTAGGCAACTTTTCTAGGCTTGTCAATGACAAATTAAGATATTTCAAAGTTTTCGCATTTCCAATATTGGAAGGTAACTCAACTAAGCTTCTGTTACCTGACAAATCCAAAACTTTCAAAACCGGCATAGAATCGAAGAATCTGTCCGGAAAAGATATTATCTCTCCATCTCTTAAGAGCAAAGTTGTAAGATAAGGGCAAGATGGTGAGCGACTTATGTTCACTTTGGTAATGATACAACCAAACAAGGAAATCCAGTTTGCCACTTCCCATTTTCGGAGTTCTCGATCGGTAAGCCTTCCGCTTTTAGCGACCAAAACCTTGTTCTTATTTCTTCCTTGATCCCGGGCCAACCACAGGGCCATGTGACGGAATATGTCATGCATTCTAACACATTGCTTAGACTCGTCAGTTTCAAGTAAATAAGCAGACTTTAAAGCATCGACTATAAATCCTCCACGATCACATGGATTTGACCATGTAAGAAACCTTCTCCTACCCATAGATCGATAAGTTCATCGATCCTAATGTTATAGTCCTCAGGGAATAGAGAACAATACAGAAAGCAGTTTTGTTCTTTGGCTTCTTTCAAGTTATCATAGCTAAACTTGAGAAGAGGAAACACATGACCTCCCATTCCTGCAATCTCTGATGGATGAGAATGTAACAGCTCGATTGTATGACGCCATTGTCGGGGATTGTCTAAACCAGCCATTGCTCTTGCAAAAGTGAGGAGAGCAAGTGGCAACCCTCTACATTTCCTAGCACACGTATTCGCCAACTCCGAGAGATCAGCATCGCTACTTAGAACACTTACGCCTACAGTCATCCTAAACAAACTCAATGCCTCCTCTGGTGGTAAACACTTGACTTCAATCGTCTCATGAGCTGTGCTGAAAAAGTTTAAGTACAACCGCAGTGATCGGGTTGTGAATATTACTTTGGACTGGTTCCGATAACCGGACAGTTTGATGCCGAGTCTTATGAGATCAAAGGGTTCCCATACATTGTCCAGTAAAAACACAAACTTGTTGCGTTTCAAAACTCTAAATATCTCAGCCCCTTTCTCGTCCTCGCCTGACTGGTTCCATATCTCATCAGGTATGTCCAGTTTCTTCCTAATCAACTCTTGAATTTTCTGTATGTAACCCTCTCCTGTAGGCACCATGGCCCAAATGACAACATCAAAATCATGGCTTCTCCTATGGAATTCATTGCAAACTTTCTTCAAAAGGGTCGTCTTCCCAACACCGCCTTGTCCACATAATCTAATGATTCTAACATTTTCATTCTCAATTGCTTCCCATACCTTGTCAACCGCAGAGTCTAAGCCAACAGTGTTCTCCAATGGCCACTCAGGCATTAGAAGACTGTTACGTGGTGGCTTAAAAACAATGGCGGATTCTGAGTAGAAACGCTCCGCCTTATTCAGAAGCTCCTTCACGGAATCCATCTTCTTAACGACTCGTTTCCCGATCTTGTAGGTGGACTTCAGGTTCCTGGGGCAGCAATCTCCAACACATTTGTTTCGAAGTTCATCGTCGCCTTGTTGAATAATTATGTTCACTTCTCCGAGCATGGCTTCTGCAAGTGTCAGCCATAGCGCCACGTCCTCCGTGCGTCTCAGTCGTTGTTGCTGTTCGAGGGCTTCCACCTTAGCCCGCACATCGCGTCGGCGGTGGTTGAGTACTTCACATCCGGCTTGCAAGCTGAGCAGATTTTCTTCCAGATGGTGTATGTAGGCCACATGTCTGGCACTACAATGCCACAAGCAGGTTCCAATGTCTAATATGGGGCTCAAGCAATCCATGAGTGTTCTTTCATCTAAAAAAAATCATAAAGCTTGTAAAAGGTTAGAACAAAAAGATGAGGCTAAAGAGAAGAAACCTTTTGCTTTTTGGCTACTTGATGACCATTGTGAAAAAGCAGGTACTGGGTCTTCGTCAATGGCTGGGCCATGTACATATTTTTACCCGTCATCAACACTGGTAACAGGGATAGATTATGTTGAACAAATCTACTCTCTCAGCGACAAATTAGGCGTTTTTCTCGAAAAGTTACTGGTGACAGGTATATTTATTGATCTAATATCGGTCAGATTATATTTTTTGATCTAACACCTTTAGCAGTAAACTGCGTCCCTTGGACCGCGCTACATGTTGATTTGACGTCACGTAGGGAAAGGCGCCTCTGAAATTCGCCTTATGTTAATATGGGATATACGTGTGTAAAGCGCGGCCTATGGGGCGTCTTACGCCACGTAAGGGTATAGCGCAGGGCAGATGTCGCGCCTTACCTTTAATTCTGATTTATATATAACGCGGGGCAGGAGTCGCGCCATATCTTTAACTGATATAATTATATAAGGCTTTCCCGGTTATAAATACCCTTCTCCCCGATTAAGTTTCTCATATCTCCTCATATCTCTCTTCTCAACTTATATATTAATACAACAATTCCGTCAACGAATCAATAATTATGACAATTTTCTCATATTTTATTCAGAAGTTCGTTCGATTTTTCGTTATAAGATAATTTTGTGATAATTTTTTTATTATATTTATTGTTTATTATGATTATTTGAAAAAATATTATACTAATTGTTGTCAATTAATTTCTGTGTTTGTAAAATTAGAAAGCATGAATATACGTCGAAATAATCTTGCGGTACAAGTAATAATATAAAATTATATTATTTAAATTATTTACGTTTATGTGTACAAATTTTATTTTGTTATATTTTCGTTAATATATTATTTATTTAATCAGCATTGTTTTAGTTGTTTTTTTTGCAGATAAAATATTGCCGCACTTTTAAACTCAAAGAATGACGCGAACTACTGCTATTGTTTATTATGATGGTTAAATTCGAGAAGATGAAATCGATGTTGTTTTCGTATCAAATGAGCGTGTTAAAATATCATTGAAGAGAAACATAACTCTTGAGGAGCTGATAACGAAGATTTCGAGGAAGATTAATGTTGGAAGTAGTAGAAGAATATCGTCGTTACAGTACAGATTTCCAACATCATTGTTGTCATTAACTTATACAGCGTTCGAACTTTTGAACAATGATGATGTTGAAATGATGGTTGAAGCTCAAAGTAATTATTCAGACGCCGATATTGAAATGTATGCAAATTTTATTCAAGTGCATGCCTTTCGGGGTCAATCATTAAGCTCCCACTATGGGCTGGCTGAACAAGTTGATCAAGTTGACAGCCCGACGACAGTAATGTGTAATGATTTTTAATGTCATAATGTGGAGACATTTATCCGCAACTCCTTGAGATATGTACCGAGGTGGGTCGACGAACAATCTGTATGGCAACATCGCGTCCAGTTCAAGGGGAAGGCATTCATCTGCAAATTTGTTTGACCTTAATATAGAGATATCATCGACGCAACCATATGTACAGTTTTCATTTGACACGATGGCTTCAAGCTCCAGGGGGAGGCATTCGACTGCGAGCTTTTTCGATCTGAATGTCGATATGTCTTCCAGTTCAAGGGGAAGGCGTCCAAGTAGTAGGTTCTTCGACCTAAATGTGGATAGCATGGAGGAACCATCATCTCCACCAGAAGAACTGCTTCGTGAGCCTGGTGCGGATGGTGCTGAGACTGGACTATTCATTCACCCAGAATCACCGCAATTCAACTCCGATGATGAAGATGATGTGGATGAAGTTCCAGTAAATGTGACACAAATAGACCCTCCAACACACATGTATGAACCTGATTATGGTGCAATGTATGGGCCAGAATTTGCGGATATGCCTCATCTCGGTGACTATGGATACTACTCATCAATAAATAATGGTGAGTTATATTTAGGCATGGAGTTTTCAAGCAAAGAAGAAATGATGATGGCTATAAAAAATTACAATATCCGTAATTCAGTTCAATCGAGAGTCGACCGCTCCACGACAGAAAAATATGTACGCTATTGTGCCCGACGAGAAAACGGATGTAATTGGATGGTTCGCGTATCAAAAAGGAAGAGGAAAAACAACAGATGTGAACTAACAGTATACAACGGTCCTCACACATGTTGTGTTGAAGGGGTTAACCAAGATCATCCCAACTTGGACTCTGAAGTGATATGCCAAGCCATCATGCCCATGGTAAAAGCAAGCTCTCATATAGCTGTTGTTGTGTTGATTTCAGCTATACAATCGCAGTATGAGTACACTATCTCCTATAAAAAAAGCTTGGTTGGCAAAACAAAATGCCATCGTCAAACTTTATGGCGAATGGGATGCATCTTACAACGAACTTCCAGGCTGGTTTAGGCTGGTGCGGAGGTTGAATCCTAGGAAATTGTGGACTTCGAAACCTCTTATGCATACCATAATGATCAAGTTCTCCTCGATCGATGCCAATTCTATCGGGTTTTTGGACTTACCCACAGTGCGTTAATATTGTAAAAATACTGCAACCCTTTGGTCCAAATCGACGGGAGTTTCTTGTATGGAAAATACAAGAAAGTTTTATTATTGACAGTTGTCCAAGATGGCAATCGCAACATTCTTCCAGTTGCTTTTGCTCTTGTCGAAGGAGAAGATACAAATTCTTGGGCTTTTTCCTCCGAAATTTACGTGCACGTGTTATCACGAGGGAAAACATCTGTGTCATTTCATATCGCGGAGCTGAGATCAAAGCAGCAATAGAGTCTTTGGGTCCAATGTGGCAACCACCCTTTGTCCAACATAGGTATTGTCTCCGACACATTGCTGCGAACTACCATGGAAGGTACAAGAAGAATGATGAGCGTCAATTAATTGTGTGCATGGGTAAGTGAAACTGATGTAGTTTGTTTTCTTTCGATCATTTTAATTTTGCAAAGAAAGCAAGTTAGTAAGTTATACATTTTTTGATCAGGTTACGAATTACTTCCTCGAACGTTTGAATCAATGCTTCAAGATTTGCGGGTGAAGAACGAGGAAGGATACGATTACATCAGCCTCATCGATAAAGAAATGTGGATGAACGCATATGATGGTGGATATCGATATGGACACATGACGACCAACTTGGCAGAGACAATCAATTCGGCCTTAAAGGGTGCACGTCACTTACCAGTAGCGGCTTTGGTAAAGACTACATATTTTCTTTTGGGGCCGCTTTTTGCGAAGCTCGGGGGACAAGCTCGAACCTGGATGCTAGGCGGTCATGTCTATCACCCTAGATTAGTTGCAGATATATAGAAAAAAATTTCTGCATCAAATGGAATGTTTGTAACAAGCTTCTCTAGAAGGCATGAAATGTTTCATGTCACAGAGTTGTCGCGACCTCTTCAAGGGATTGAAGCTGTGTCGTTATGAGTAAATCTAAGGGACAGAACGTGTGACTGCGGGTTTTTTCAAGCTCTGAAATATCCATGCTCTCATGTGATAGCAACTTGCTCGCATACACGTCAAGACTATAACCAATTTGTGGATCCCATATACCTACTATCTGAAGTTTTTAAGGTATACGAATTTGAGTTTCCCCCTATAGGTAATGATAAAGACCCTGGTGAGGTTCAAGATTGGCTTCCGATTGTACCAAATCTGAGTTTATTGAGGGAGCGTGGTCGTCCAAAATCCAATCGAATTTATTGCGATATGGATATTCGAGAAAGATCTAGACAAGACAGAAGATGTGAGCATTGTAGAAACCCATGACACACTAGAAAAACATGTCCACTTTTGTTGCCATCAAGTAACAATTGATAAGGAAATGTTGTATTTGTTTATCAAATAATAATTCTTGTACTTCAATTTGCATTTACTTCAAGTTAATGTCATTCGATAATCGCTGATGAAGATTAAAAAACGATACAATAATACGAGATTGAACGTTTGCGTTATATGTGATTATAATAAAAGAGATAATAAGTGACAAACTTAAGAAAGTTATCGAACACAATCATTATATTTTATCAAACTGATAACAGTTTGGTATTTCAAAATAATTTTAAATACAACAAACTTACAATAAGTATTAAATGGTAAATGATAACCAAATTACAATAACTGATATTAAATGATAATAAACAAAATTAACTTAAATACATTAAAAAAAGTTCAACAAATTTAACAAAATAAAGTAAGTATTAAATGAGAAATAATAAAAAATTACAATTAAAAAGTTCAATAAACTAAATATAAATATAATAAAAAACAAAATCTATCGATGCCTGCGACGCGAATGTGTTCCGCATGGTGGTGGCTATCGGTCTCGAGGAGGATTTCTTCGTATCACTGGTTGTGACTCCTCGCTGTCATCACCATCATCGTCGTCGTCGTCATCGTCCTGAGTAGGTACATGAGGAGCTGATGACGATGAAGCGCCTCCATAGAATAAGAACCCTGGAGGTGTATGACTGACTATCCCACCGACCTGTGAAAACTGGGAAAACTCATTAAACCCAGACATCGCTGAGTGTGAAAACTGTACAGGAGGTGTCTGTGTTGCGGCCATGGGTGATGAGGTTGAACTAGCCAAATATCCAGTATATGAACCCCAAGTCAGATCTGCAAACATAAACTCATAATAGCCTCCAGGAGGGGTCATCTGTGACGGTGGCGGCGGCGGGGTCATAAAACCATGTGATGGTGGTGGCGGCGGCATGGGTAAGGGAATGGCGACGGCGACATCTGGTAGTGGAAAGGCGGTGGCGGCATCATATATGGTTGCGGTGGCTCCTGTGAAGGTACTGCTGGTGTAGTTGAGGATGAACCAGAAGCACCTGCTCTCCGTCCACAAGTCGGGGGATGATGGTGCTGTGTCGATGAACGTCTCTGTCGACGTCGCGAAAAGGTCTGCCCTTGTGCATCATCGGGAAGCAGAAACAGTTTC